ATTCATCTTCTGTGATCGCATGCTTAAAATAAGATAAAACTCCTAAATAATATTTAGGAGATTTGGTTAAATAAATTAAATTATAAATGGAGTAAAACTCCAAAAGCTTCCGACCTGGAAGAGCTTTTCCAATGCGACGAGACTGATTTATAGACTGGTACCCCTCAAGAAATTAGTGGCTCGAAGAACTTATCGCTATTTCGTTGCTAATTTGTAGGGTTACCGCACGCGCACTTAATATTATTGGTTGTAGCTCGAACATCCTTTCCTTATTTTGTGGATTACCACACATACATACGGTCTACGTACTTTGATAGACTTCTAACCTCTACCTTATACTACAAATTTAGCATCAATAGTAAAAGTGAAAAATAAATTATAAATTTTTGTAAAAAAAAAAGGTGGAATGCCCACACCGTATGCCCCTCACACCCTGCCCGACGTAGTATGTAAGAATAGATCATTTCTACGATGGGGGGTGAATAACAATGTTTATGGACAAATATAAGAAATCACAAGAAATTTAAATGAAATAAAAGCAGAACTAAAAGCGTAAAGAAAGAACACATCATTTTTATACTGGTTCGCCACAACTTGTGGCTAGTCCAGTCCCCCGATAGACTCTTTCCGAGGTCTCACTAACTCCGTTAAGTTTAAAAGTGCTCAACAAACCAGGTACAACCTCTGAATTCGAGTCACACGAGCCTCTACAACGCTTGCTTAGAGATACCCACTTTAAGACTTCAACCAAAGGAACAATAGCTTCCTTCGAACCTAAACAAGTGAACAAACCTCCCTACAAGTGTATACAATATTTAACACTTAGGAACTAGACTCTTTTAGAGTAGATATTGAATAAACTAATGAACGCTTAAGAACACGATAATTTGTTCAAGTATTGGCTCTCAAGAGCTATGAAATATATAATAAATGAATGCAATGAAAGTGTGTCGAAGTAATGAAGAATTGTGCGTAAAATAAGAGGTTTAAGACGCAATCAAAGGACTGTTGAAGATCCCCGCAATGCAGCAAGAGAATACGTAAACATACTTGACGCGATTCTCAGCTAGAAGAATTCGAAACACCATTTATCTATCAATCACATTTTTCTTATCCCAAACAAAAACATGTCATTGTCTAGTCACCTAAATAAAAGTACAAAATAAACTTTTGCCAAATAAATGTTTTTAAAACAAAAGTATTGTATTCATTACTTTGTAAATATCTTAGGAAATTTTGAGACAACATTTCTTTAAGTGGGGAAGAAATGTAACGCCCCAAAAGATGGCCTAAAAGTTACTTTATGATAAAAGTATTTTAAAAACTATATTTTGATCCAACAAAGTATTTTTTTGTGTTTGACTAAAATTGAAGGAATTTTGTTGAAGTTGATGATCTTTTTCTAAAACTGAGTTATATGGATAGCTTTCGAAGAGACAAATTCAACGGTATGTTTTATTAGCAAATCTGATTTAAATATTTTGAGTTATGATTTTTTTAAAAATGTAACATATAAAATCAAGTAGTGCTTAAAGATGTGAACTTTTTTAAATGATTTATTGAAATAAATCATTAGATTGAATAATACTAATTGAATATGAGAATTGTTAAATATATTGTTACTATATTTAATATTGTAAATAATAGTAGATAACATAATTGTATAGGCTACCATTAATATGTTTCCTACACCAATTAGCTCTCCTTCAAGGGTGGGTGGATTTTGTCCACTGTCACCGACAAAGTTTCAGATCTCATCCTCGCACACAATCCGACGGCACATGCTCTATGGACGGCGATCTACAATCGCTTTCATGATAATAAGCACGCTCGGGCGATGCAATTGGAACACCGGTTTCGTACCACTGTCAAGGGCACACGGAGCATCTCGGAGTATTATTATATCCTTCGGAACGTTGCCGATTACCTTGATGACGTTGATGCCTAGTAACGGAACATGACCTCGTTCTCCAAGTTCTTCAAGGTCTGCCGCAGGATATTCGAGCCCAAGTTCAGTTTCTCCAATATCAAAATCAATTCCCGAGTTTTTTGGAGGTCTGATCCGCCTTCCTCTTGGCCGAGCAGCAGCAGACAGATGTCATCGGCGGCACCAACCCGCCGACGGCCCTGGCAGTCATGGACCCGGGTCACGCCCAGCATGGTGGACATGCGCAGCACGACGGCCAGGCGCAGCGGCAGGTTCCCGCCCCCCTCCTGGACACGGCGGCTATGGCGGGCAACAACGTGGTGGTGGCAGCGGCTACTGCGGCAGAGGCCGTGGTCGCGGTCGTGGCGGCTCAAACTCCCAGCACCCGTCGAGCTTTCAACCCTGGAAATTCCTGACTCCATCTCCCACACCCGGTCTTTTAGGC